AAAAAAAAAAAAAAAAAAAAAAAAAAAAAAAAAAAAAAAAAAAAAAAAAAAAAAAAAAAAAAGTGTTACCCCTCCCCGACATGAAGGATTTTTTTGTCAACAAGAGAGAAAGAACGATGCGACAAGTAGAAGGAAAAAGAGAGCTGAAATGAACAAAATTTACAAACCACCTCAATCAATAAACGAAATTACAATTATGGAAAAGTTTTCGCTCGCGTTCTAAAGCAGTTTCGAGAAGCTACTTTCTCCTTCCATCACGAATTCTAAAGAAAAAGAGCTTATAGCATTATACATACAGACTCATAACCGAAATCCTAATTGGGCCATTTGGAGCACATGCACGAAAGAAATTGAGTCATGGTCGATATTTTTACAACATTGTGACATGGTATCGCTCCGGGTTAAACTCATTAAAGTGATATAAATTTGATTATATATGTATAAAATTTAAAGGGAAAAAAAGATGGATGATGTTGATGGAACATATGATTAATTTGTATTCAAACATTGAGATGATTTAATAAGAGACAAAGTTGATGGGGGTGTCTGTGTGACATGTTTGAATTGATTATATTAATTGTTGTGTCGTGTAAGAGAGAGAGCTTAGCTTTTGACTCAATTTTGGGAATGGATTTGTCCACAAATTACGTGGGCCTTTCTTCTTTGTCATATCGCACCTCACTTAGTGGAGTCTTATTAAAGTAACGTCCTCCCAATTTTACTTATTTACCCCCCAATCCCTTCCCATTTTACTTATTTAACCCTTCAAATTATACCCCTCTTTCTTTATATTATTCCATATTATTATGATTTATTTGATGGGCCTTAAGGGAATTGGGCTGGAATGAATCTAAGAAACCAAGCCCAATAGAATGGGCCGCTATATTATGGGCCTCGAAATCCAGACTTGATAGAATGGGCTTCGCATGATGTTATTTAATTTTATTTTAAATTCTGGATTTGCATGATAAAATTAATATTATTTTCTCTAAATTTAGGAAAATAAATATTATTATTAAATTATCCACTTCTGGAAACAAAATTATAATCACGAGGGGACGTCATAATAATACGTCATTATTTTTTCTTTTTTAGGTTTAATTATTTTATTATTTCGTTGACCTGAAAAAATAAATATAGTTTTTTAAATTTGCATATTTTAAAACGTTGACTTGACAAAAACTAAGAAAACGTTGACTTGACTGGATAAGAATGCCAGGTCATTTCCCACGTATAATTCTCCATTTTAAAATTATCCACATTGTATCTCACAAAAAAAATAATAATAATAAAATCTACGGGCCAGAATTATGAAAATCTGATTTTGTCGCAATAAAATAAAATAAGCCATTAGGAGATTTAAATATAAAATTGAAATTAATTTATAAATTCAATTAAAAAATTTTAATTTATGGGAACAAAACGACTTTGTCTTTATATTTATCTAAAAAAATTTACTTAAAATGAAAAATTGACTTTTATGTTATGAAATGAAATCATTTTATTCAAAGTTGAATAATAATATATTAAAGTATGTGGGTGAACAAATATTCTACTGAAAGAATGTATCTTTATTTTTTTTATATATACTAAAAGTAGTTATATTTCTTATCAGACAGCTCATTATGTATATTAAATCATTATTTATTTTTCTCTCAGATAAGCGATAACGACCCTTTTTCTCAAATAAACTGTGTCAACTATCATTAGCATACCTTCGAAGCTCACACCTTTTTGTTTGATACTCTTAGAATTCTACTGATGTGACTAAGCTAGGGGCATGACTTTAATATCACTGATAACAATTCTTCATATAAAGGTATGATACTGTCCAATTTGAACATAAGCTACGTGACCTTATTTTTTAGTTTCTCTGAGATTAGGATGATGATAAGGGGCGGTTGACTTAGTTGTCTAGGAGAGCGAGAAAAGGAGAGGAAGGGTATAAAGCATAGAATCAAAATAGATCAAATATAATTTGAAGAAATGGGTACATATTATACACTAAATGATGATGAAAAAAGGGCCCCAAAACCACCAATTCTTCTCTTGTGATTGAATTTCCTACAAATTATGTCATTTCAGACTTGGTAAACTCCATGTTTGAGTGTTATAAAACCCTCTTCCCATCCAATTTTATGTTAAAAGTTTGGTCGTTTTGTTAAGATCATAAGAGGAACATATGGAAACTTCGAGTGCTTCAAGAGTGACTTGTCTTGTATTAAGAATACTAACTTTTGTGTTTCTTTTCATCTCCTTCTTCATTCTCATCACCACTTCCCAAACTGTTCAATCAATTAAGTTTCACTTCAATGACTTTCATACATATAGGTAACTTCACAAATTATATTTCATTTTACAACCATTAACATATACGTAACTGTGTTCCAAATGATTCTTATAGGTACGTGCTTGCTACTATCATCGTCGAGATCGTATTCAATCTCTTGCAAATCGCGTTCTCCCTCTTTAATATCGTTAAGAATCGAAACGGAACCATACTATTTGATTTCTTTGGCGACAAGGTACGTTATACACAAACATTCGGTGTCGTGTCGTGTCGTGTGCGAGTCAAATGATTCTTTAGCGTGCAACGGTTTTGGTGCAGTTTTTGTCGTATCTTCTAGCAACGAGCACTGCAGCTGGGTTTGGAGTTTCAGTGGATTTGCAAAGAACAAAAGACCCAGAGGATTTGTTTGGAACGTTCTTTGATAAGGCATATGCAGCCTCAGCTCTTCTTTTGTTTGCATTCTTTTGTTCTGCCGCTGTCTCTATTCTCTCTTCCTTTGCGCTCTCAAAGAGACCTTAATTAATTCATCTTTTCGATTTTTATAGAATTTTAGTATTAATGTAACATGTTCGATGAAAAAAAGTTAAATTTTAAGTTAACCTATTCGAAAAAAATAATTGTTATATCATTAAATTATTATTATTTTCTCTAAATTTTGGAAATAAATATACTTGCGTATGCGCCATAATAATACGTCATTATTTATTATTTTATTTCTATTTTTTAACGTTGACTTTGATAGAAACTAAGAAGAAATAAGTCCAGGTTTGATGAGATGGGTTCTAGGGACAACCCTATGACAGCTGATATGGACAAGAATGCCAGGTCATTTCCTGCGTATAATTATCCACCTCAGAAATAGGAAATGAAAATGAAAAATCTACAAATTCAATTCACATTTTAAATAATTAATATGAAAAAATTTAAAGGTTGTGAAAGGGATTATGGGAAAGCTAAGAGTTGAAATATTATTCCAAAAAATGGAGAATTGGTAGCCCACCACTTGTTTCCTCAATTTATTTATGGCCACAACTTTACCAAATTAAATAATTAAATTCATTTTATTCCCAACTTGCCCGCCTACTTTAATAATAATAGGATTATTATTATTATTTTTGGTCAAACATATAAATATAATAGCGAGGAAATAAACATATTTAAAATAAAAAAATAGCGCGTGGGAGGAGTATAACCATCAACCTCACAACTTCTTTATTTGATATCTCGAGGAATCGACGAATTTCCACGGTGGTTTGACATTATTTACTTTGAACATGATCTTTCGTAATTGATTTTTTTTTTTTCAGAAATTTTCTTTTATTAATTAGTACCCATGATTTTCCCTAAACAAGCTAACATAAGACTCCACGATAAAAGATTCAAAATGGAATTGAAAACAAAACTTTATTTTTTAAAAAATAAGTATTTAAAATTTAATCAAAACCAATTAAAGATGTTCGCATAACTCAATAACTCGACCAACTTAGATTATATAATCCAAACCATAAAAGTTGGGTTAGGTTAAATTCTTTTTTAGTTTGGGTTGGGTTCAATCTTTGAAGAACTAAAAACTTGGTTCGATTTGTGCGTTGACTGTTTTTTTTTAGCCAACCAACCCTAAAATAGGGTTACAATCTAACCCTACCCTACTTTTAAAAATATTAAAAATATTTAACGTTTGTAATGGATATTAGTGATGTATTGTGGCGTGTAAATGTTTGATATTAAAATTTTATGAGATTTTAGTTATTAATGTAACTTGTACGGTGAATAAGTAAGATTTAAAAAAATAATAATCTGACAACCCAATTCAACCCGGAAATAGAAAGTTGGCTTGGTTTAACTTGTGAACTCTATTCAAGTTACTCGAGTCACCAACTCGAAATTAACCCAGTAACTCAACCGAACCCAATCCGTGTACAAAATTGACCGAGCAAAAAAAAAACTTCGATTTTCAAATTTGCTAGAAGAGAGGCCAATCACCAACTCGTCTCTTATGATTAATTTCCAAGAACTTATGGGATTTATTTATGACTTGGTAAACGTCATGTTTGAGGGCTATAAAACCCTCTTCCCATGCAATTTCATGCCATTTTTGTGGAGAGAATTACAAAGAGTTTTTGGTTTTGTTAATATCATAAGAGAAACATGGAAAGTTCAAGTGGTGCAAGGGTGACTTGTCTTATATTGAGAATCCTAACCTTCGTGTTTCTATTCATCTCCTTCTTCGTTCTCGTCACCACGTCCCAAACCGTTGAATCGGTAAAGTTTCATTTCAACAACTTCCATACATATAGGTACGTGCTTGCTACGATCATCATCGGGGTCGTATTCAACCTCTTGCAAATCGCGTTCTCCCTCTTAAATATCGTTAAAGGTGCAACCGGTACCATACTATTTGATTTCTTTGGCGACAAGGTACGTTATACACACACATCTAGTGTCATGTTTGATTCGATTCGAATATGTGGCCCTAAACGCGTCGGTTTTGGTGCAGTTTTTGTCATACCTTCTAGCCACAGGCACAGCAGCTGGGTTTGGACTATCGGTGGATTTGCAAACATTAGACCCAGATGACTACTTTGGAACATTCTTTGACAAGGCATATGCGGCCTCAGCTCTTCTTTTGTTCGCGTTCTTTTGTTCGGCGGCGGTCTCTATTATCTCTTCTTTTGCACTCTCCAAGCGACCTTAATTAATTAATCTCTGGTTATTTAATTGTTTCCAAGTTCTTTTTCTTTTGTCCTAAGATCATGTTGTTCTTATTGGGTTTTGTTTGATGATTTGTTACCATTCTTTTTCTCCGAAATTTTATGGGATTGTTTGATATAGAAGTTTATAAATATTTTTCGAGTCAAACTGTTCGAGCAATTCAACACGGACTTATGATGAATACAATGAAACCGAGTGATCGAGTGTTCCGTACAAGTATTAAAATTTGATATCAATTAAAAAATGGTTCAAAATAAGTGTTTGATAAAATATATTTATAAATTATTTATTATTGAATATAAAATAATTAATTTGTGAACATTTTTGTTTTTTAAAAATATTATTTGACAATATTCATTTAATTTATAATATAAAATGAGTTTACAACATAAAATATTGTATTTATCAATTTATTATTTTTAAATATAAATCTTCAATTTAAAATTTTAATAAAAGTTTTCCGTATTATTTAGATTACAAAATTTAAAAAACAGTTTTAAAAAACATATTCTACATTAAAAAAAAAATGACAAGATTAACAAATTTTGTACCAACCAACCTCGAATTTTTCTTTGTTACATTTATCGGTTAATAATTAGTTATATCACGAGAAATAATTCATTTAAAATACATTTATTATCTTTTTAATTTTATCTATAATAAGTTCTTCCATTTCAGCAAACATATCATATGATTGGGTTGGATTAAACATGTTATGAAATATTTGAAATTTCATAAACTTGTCGTATAAATATAAAATAAAAAAATTTAATTATTTATTAAACATTTTTAAATTAAGCATGCTATTATTAATTAAGAAGGCTAGAGATTTTTAATCTCCATCTAACAACGTTATGAGTCATTAATGAGGGAGTAGGTCAAACTATTGAAAAAGTCAAAGGAGAATAAAATATATTTTAAGGACAACGACTTGAAACATGTCTGGTTAGTTGACAAAAATGTTGGGAGAGAAGACTTGGCCGCCATTTCCGGCCGGTGAACCTTCCCACCACGTTCACTTGGGAGTTCATCAAAAGTAAACCATCGACATGCACAATCTAGGATTTCTTTATTATATTCCTAATTTTTTTTTATTATGTATTTAATAAAAATTTGATAAATTAAAGTTTTTTTTAAAAAATTAATCACCCTATTGAATATATATTTAAAATTCAATAAATATAGTATGTGCATGTCCTAAATTCAATTAATTTTTGTTAAATTAAATTATAATATAATAGATTTATAAATTAATAATTAAAAGACTGTACCCATTATAATTTATTCCAAGTCAAAGCAATAACGAGTAAGTAGCCATTATTACCTCTTCATCCACTTGCTTCGATACTCAAAAGTCAACTTGTACAATAGCTTCTAGTTTTTCTTGCATTTACAAAATCGATGTAGACCCTTATCCAAAAAAATGATACAAAATTTCACGTTCTAACTTTTTTATATTTACCTACCGAAACTAATACAAGCAAATCGAAAGACAAACGTCCCATTTTTTTTCCTTCTTTGTGTTGAGGATTATTGGGGGATTAAGTGGAAGATGATGAGTTTATAAGTGAAGAATACTATCTCATACCATTCTAGAGAATCGTGATTCCAACACTTTGTTTGGGTTTTTTCGGAGAGAAAAACAAAGACGTGGACGAGGGTAAACGCGGAGAAAATCGAGTGGAAGAAGAAAAATGAGGAAGTGGTAGGCAAGTTGGTGTTATTTTTTTGGTCTAACTTATAATGTGAACAAAGAACAGCAATTAGCATCCTCTTTGTTTGAATATTCAAAGATGTTTTTTACACGTATTGAAGTTCCATGTGGAAACAAAAAGCAAAGGGCATTTTTTGGGCTATAAAAGGTGAACCAGTTAGAGATATTAAATTCATTACCAAGATCAGCAAAAATGGAAGCTAAAATGGGTACCAAAATTGCTTCTTTTGTGCTCAGAGTTCTCACCTTCGTCTTCCTCTTAATTTCCATCATAGTTCTTGGAACCACTTCCAAGACCGTAGGAGATGAGAAGCTTCAATTCCATAATGTCAATTCCTATAGGTATTTATTTATTTATTTATTTTCTATTATTTATTTTTTATTATTATTAAAATTGAAAAAAAAAAAATTCAAAATTTGAAGGTTTGCAATGGCGACGATCATCATTGGAGGAGCATTCAACCTCTTGCAAATAGCCTTAGCCCTTTATCGTCTCATAACCAAATCCGACGGCGGCGTTTTATTCGACTTCTTCGGTGATAAGGTTTTGTCGTACTTTCTGCTGGCGGGAGCGGCGGCGGCGCTGGGTTCTACCATAGACTTGAAGGCCAATATTGACTGGTTGAACTCGTTTTTCGACCAAGGCAACGCCGCTGCGGCTCTTCTTCTTCTTGCTTTCCTATGCAGTGCTATAGTTTCTGTTCTTTCCTCTTTTGCCCTTTCTCACAAACCTACTTAGTTTTGTTTTTTATTTATTGCAAAATTCATAGCACAATCTTTGTCGGACACCCTTTTATCAAATTCTTTCTCGTTTCATGTTCATGGAGTGTATTTTTCTCGGAGACAATTTTTAAATCAAATTTAATTATTTGGATCATAAATTATTTCAATTTAATTAAATAATAAATTCAGTCTAATCTAACTATAAATTTTTATAACTAAATCAATATTTTTATTTTTACCGTGTAGAAATAAAATGGGAATATTATCATGTTTAGATGTGTTTTTTTTATAGCAATTTGAAATTATAATTAATTATTAAGATATTGCTCTACATTAAAGTTATATTAAATATCAATAATAGAACTAAATGGGCCCACATTCGTCTAAACTTTCAAACCGGCCCAACAAGAATCTTTTGGCCCACATTCGTCTGAACTTTTAAAACGGCCCAACAAGAATCTTTCGGCCCACATTTGTCTAAACTTCTTTGATAAGTCATTTAACTTTTAAGAATTAAAATTAAAATTAAAAGTGTAGAGATTTTGGTTTTAAAATTTAAGAATTAATCTAAAAGATAAATAGATTATATCAAATTTCTTGATTTTATACTATATAAGTCTTTAAATATATAGTATTTTAATTTAAATTTAATTACTTTATATAAAAAAGAAGTGTATATTTTTTTTTTTTAATTTAACCAATGTTAACACAGTTCAAACAATTGGATGACTAAGTATTTTATTTAGGAAAAGTTTAAAGCAAGAAGAAATAATCTTAGAAGGAATATTTATGTTTATTTTTTAAAAATTTTAACTAACTAAATTAAAATAACAAAAGTAAATATTTAAATATTTAATGAACCCCAATCTTAATTTGAGAATGAAGGGAAACAGATATTGTAAAAGAATTTTAAAAAAAGAAAAACAATTAACTCTGAAACAAAAATAAAAAAATTATTTTATAATCCAAAATTTAAGAGTGGTTAATATAATGAAAAGAGGGTGAATTTTCTTTGTACTTTGGAACACAATTTTTATATATTAATTTAATTTAATTAAGATTATGACAAGAATGACGACAATTTTTCCGACAAAGATTTCCGTTTTTCACGTTATTTTACAATTAATTAATACTTGACCTTGATGTGTGGTGCTTTTGGGACAACTTCCGCAGCAAGCTAGAAAGGGAAATTCCTTAAACTAACTCCAAAATTAAAAAATTAAAATTAAAAATTCAATTTTCTTTTGTAAAATTAAAATAATTAATAATAAATCAACCCAATAACTTTAATATTAACAGGCGAAGACCCAAAATTAAGTGGGAGAAGGTGGTCTTTCTTTTTTTATTTTATCATTTAATTTAAAAATAGACTATTTTTTTTCTAATAATTTTTTTAAATAAAGTGTTAAATTTAAAATATTATTTAAAATTTTAGAGATATTTTTTAAAATTATTTAATTTGTAGACAGATATGGTTAAACAAAAAGACTTAATTTATTATTAATTTACCCCTAAAGATGTATTGAAACAAAGCTTAAATGAAATGAAAGGTAAAAAATAGAAGCAAAAACATGAAAAGACTTGGAAGATCGTTTCATGTAAGCAGGTCGACGAAGAACGAGGCAAGAATCATGGTGGGATCGCCAATAACGATACTGATAACTGTCTTGACGATAAATTTCACGACTCTCCAAAACTTCTCTATGCCTCCTCTCTCCGCTCGCCGTCGTGCCTGTATCTCTTTCAGATTCAACTTCACAGCCACAGATTGCGTTCCACTAGTACTGCTCCTCATTCCGCTGCCGCCGCCGCTTCTGCTGTTGCTTCCTCCATTGCAGCTCTGGCTCTTGTACCATGCTTCTAAAGCCATTTGAGTGACACAAGCGACATGAACATGGTACTCCTCGCACTCCGATATGTACGACCACCCATTGTCCTCACCGCCATCTTCAAGCCTCTTACTCTTGCACCAAATGCACTTACCTATATTCGGTCGTCAATTATAATTTATCATATGTATTATAATATGAATATTTATAATTAAATATTTTTATAATATTTAATGATTATAAATAGAGAATTTCTCACCTTTCATCTTCTTGTGGAGATTAAACTTCACGTCTTCGATTCGGTAGCTTTTTTTAAGCTCACGGCAGCATGGGTGGATATCCAAGTCATCTTCCTCACAGTGAAACACGAACCCTTTGATTGTCTTCCTGCAAGCGTCGCACCTTATTATGCATTCTGGGTGGCACGGTTTTGGTGGATTTCTCATGAACCTGAACCTCGAACCCGGGAAAAATTCATGCGAAACGGACGCAACCCGGTCGTAAGTGCAGGGTTTATGAAGATCAAAATCGCACTTTTCGCACCGGTATCGTGGGCCGAACCCCTTCTCCTTGCACCCATTGCAGGTGTACGGCTCCATGTAGTTCTTCAGCTCTAGAACATGCCTCCGGTGGGTTGGATGATTTCGAAGAATCTCCTCCGTCGCCATTTCTCCTTCTTTAACTAAATTAAGAATACTGTGTTATCACATGGAGTTGATGGGATTTATAGGCTGTTTTGCTCATCTTTTTGCATATTTCAAATGCATTATGTGAGCAATTGAGATGAAATTTCTAAGCATTTGAATGAGGAATTTCACGTGACCAAGTCTTCCTCTACTTCGTGGGGTTGCTTACAATGCTATCTAATGTGAAACATTATAATAAATTTAATAACCAAAAATATAATATAATATAATATAATATCTAAAAATTTAAAATTTAATAGTATACTTTGATTTGGTATGTAACATTTAAAGTAAATATATATAATATAATCTCAGTACCCCACATAAGGCCGAGAGTTAAAATAGACATTTATATACAAAATTCGAACTAATATTAATTACAATTATTTTGATAACTATATTCTAATTTAATATATTTATTAATTATAAAATCTTTTAATCCCATCCACCATTTCAAGAAATGGTTGTTACTTAGTAGTTGAGTTGTGGTAGTAAGACCCCACGGCTTATGTTATTCAAATGTGAACCGACATTTAAATTTATGTTAGTTTCTTGTCGGCTTTAAGGAAATAATAATTAAAGACTTTATTTTCCTTTTATATTTAATATAAAAATCAATCTTTCCAATTTGGTTGATTAAAGTCGGCAAAAATGGTCGACTTAAAGTCGGCAAAAATCCACGTGTAATAGATGTTATTCATTTTTTTTTTTTTTGAGATTTTAAAATATTTCTCTTATAAGAGATTTTCACTCTTTAAAATAATGTTTCGTTCCCCTCTCTAACCGGTAGGGTTTTACAGTTCATTTTCTTTGAATATCCAATGTCTTTACTGATACTCGTTACTCTCTCCAATTGATGTGAGATTTCATGGAAATCGAATCCATCCAGCATTTTATATGTAAATAATCCCAAATTAATCCAAGCAAACCTATAAAATTATCACTTTCAATGAACGGAGTCGGCTGATTTTGGATAGATACGGAGAAAATTATAATTTAATTTATAGTAAGGTTAAATTAAAGTAGAGATAAGGGAAAGAATATCAATAATAATTTTTTTTTTTTATATAAATGGAGAGAGATATTATGGATTTAAAAGGTGAAGCATGAATTTGAAGGGCCCAATCCTGATACCCAAACTGTCACGTCAAACCCTTTGGAAATTGGGCCCACGCTTCAACGGCCCATTAATATACTTGAGCCCAAGCCCAGTTTCTCACTACTCTCATCTCGTAACAAGCTTCCACCCGCCGTTATCCCCATTGTTCTTCGCTGATCGAGAATCGGGAGTGCTGCAGCAGTCGCTTTGGATCCTTAGTCTGCCATGGGAGTTCACTTCCAGCTCTGCACGATGACGACTAGAACAGGTAACTCGTTTCTAGCTACTAGATAGACACGAAGATCTGAACCGGTTCGGTTGGATCGTTTTCAGCATTGCTTTGATTTTGATTGAAGATTTGGGAAATGGACGACCGGTTTCTAACTGCTTATGCATTGTTTGAAATCAGTGATGCTCTGCCGATTTTAGTTTTATTAGTTCCTCCATTCTCAGAAGATTTAGTTGCATCGTTTTCGTATTTTTGTTAATGAAGTTAGGTTAATTTTTTCATTTTTGGAAAAATTGTGTAATCTACTTTATTTATTTCTGTTTTTCCGTTTTGAAACAGACATTTGCGTTTCTGTTTCTCTGTGTTCATATGTAAAATGATAGGGGAACAAAAATCTTCAATAAAATAGTTCATTGATAGAGAAGAAGCAACATTATTATGATCTGTTCATATGCACGCACACAATCGAAATTGAAACGTAGTATTACAAACGCTTTTGGAGTAAAAGAGAAGATGAAATACAATTCGGAAAGAGAAGGCGAAACAAAAGTGGAAGAAGTTTCATGCAATCAGTTGGACAAAGAGGGAGGCCAGAATCGTGGTGGGATCCCCAAGAATGATACTAAAGATGGTCTGGATGAAGATCTTGAGGATTCTCAGCATCTTGTTACCTCCTCCGTCGGCTAATTTTTTTTTTTTTTTTTTTTTTTTTTTTTTTTTTATAAATATTTTTTAGATTTTTTGTGTTACTTACCTGAAGATTTTATTCATTAGCACACAAGGAAGGAGGGTAACAAAGCTCAAATGAAATGAAAGGATTCCTCACACAAACACACAATCAAAAAGTGAAAAAAGAACACAGGAAAAAACATGATAAGACTTGGAAGAAAATAAGATTGTTTCATGGAATTAGGTCCAAGAACAACGTGGCAAGCATCATAGTGGGATCGCCAATAATGATACTAATAAGTGCCTTGACGATGAGTTTCACGATTTTACGAAACTTCTTGCCTCTTCCATTCGCCCGCCGTCCAGCCTCAATCTCTTTCGGATTACCCTTCATTGTCATAAGTTGGGTTGCACTAGTAGTGCTCCTTATGCTACCGTCGCCGCCGCCAGTAGTTCTCCTTAGGCTGCAGCCGCGGCCTTCTCCTGCTCCTGTAGTTCTCCTTAGGCTGCACCCGCGGCCTTCTCCTGCTCCAATAGTTCTCCTTAGGCTGTAGCCACCGTCTGCTCCCGTAGTTCTCCTTAGGCTGCAGCCGCCACCTATATCAATAGTGCTCCTTATGCTGGAGCCACCCCTTGCATCATTAGTTCTTCTTAGACTGGAGCCGCCGCCGCCTGCTCCAATAGTGCTCCTTATGCTGGAGCCGCCGTCTGCATCAGTAGTTCTTCTTAGGCTGTAGCTACCGCCTACTCCAGTAGTGCTCCTTATGCTGGAGACGTCGCCTGCATCAGTAGTTCTCCTTAGGCTGTAGCCGCTGCCTGCTCCAGTAGTGCTCCAGATGCTGGAACCGCCGCCTGCATCATTAGTTCTTCTTAGACTGGAGCCGCCGTCTGCATCAGTAGTTCTTCTTAGGCTGTAGCTGCCGCCTACTCCAGTAGTGCTCCTTATGCTGGAGCCGTCGCCTGCTCCAGTAGTTCTCCATATGCTGGAGCCGCCGCCTGCATCAGTAGTTCTCCTTGGACTCTTGCCGCTGCCTGCTCCAGTAGTGCTCCATATGCTGGAGCCGCCGCCTGCATCAGTGGTTCTCCTTAGTCTGTAGTCGTCGCCTGCTCCAGTAGTGCTCCTTATGCTGGAGCCGTCGCCTGCAATAGTAGTGCTCCTTATGCTGGAGCCGCCACCCGCACTAGTAGTTCTCCTTATGCTGCCGCCTGCACTAGTAGTGCTCCTTATGCTGTTGCCGCCGCTGCTGCTCTGGATCCGAGGCAATGCTTCTAAAACCATTTCAGCGACACAAGCAACATGAACATGGTAATCCCCGCACTCCGACATGTACGACCAGCCATTGTCATCACCGCCATCTTCAAGGCTCGTCCTCTTGCACCAGATGCACTTCCCTTCCACCTTCTTGTGGAGATTAAATTCCACGTCTTCGAATCGATAGCTTGTTTTCAGGTCATAGCAGCATGGGTGGATATCCAAGTCATCTTCCTCGCAGTGAAACACGAACCCTTCGATGCTCTTCCTGCAAGCGTCACACCTTACTCTACATTCCGGGTGGCACGGTTCTGGTGGGTTTCTCATGAACTTGAACCTCGAACCCGGGAAAAATTCATGCGAAACTGACTCAACCCGGTCGTAAGTGCAAGGTTTATGTAGATCAAAATCGCACTTTTCGCATCGATATCGTGGGCCGAACCCCTTCTCCTTGCACCCATTGCAGGTGTATGGTTCCATGTAGTTCTTCAGCTCAAGAACATGCCTAGGGTGGCTTGGATGATTCCGGAGCATCTCCTCCCTCGCCATTTCTCTTTCTTTGACTAAATTAAAATTGTGATGGGTTTTATAGACTGTTTTGTTCCATCTTTTTGTATATTTCAAATGATTTAAATGAGCAATTGAGATGAAATTTCTAAGCATTTGAGTGGGAAATTTTCACCCGCTACATATTATATTTTACTAAGCCTTCCTTTTGGTTTGTGGGGCTTTTGCTATCTAATTATTTGTCTTCATCTTTATTGAAAATTCCCGGAAATAGGTTATTTAATTTCATTTTTTAATATAATTTATATTTTTTTAAAAAAGTAAATATCATATTTATTTATTTATTAGGTAAGGATATAGTAATATAATTTCCAACCTCTATCCCATTTAGTTAATTTAATGTATGTATTAATTATAAAATCTTTTAATCCCATTCACCATTTCAACGCTTATGGGCAATGGGTGTTGTTTAGTAGTTGAGTTGGGGGGTAAGACCAGGCGGCTTATGTTATTGAAGTGTGAACTTATGTTATTGAAGTGTGAACTTATGTTATTGAAGTGTGAACCCACATATAAATTTATGTTATTTTTTTTGTCGACTTTAAGGATAATAATCAAAGACCTTCTTTATGTTTTTTTTTTCCTTTTATATTTAATATAAATATCAATCTTTTTCAATTTAGTTGACTAAAATCAATATTAAAATAGTAAGAGTACAAGCTCAGGGATAGCAACTTGTGTATCTTTTTTAGGTTTTTTTTCATAGTTTTAAGATGAAAGATTTCTACTACTTATAAAGAATGTCTAATTCCCTTCTCCAATCGAAGTAGGATCTCACTATTCCGATATGACGGTTTGGAATGACTTTTTTATGGCTTTATAAATTAACGGCCCGTAAAATCAAAATAGATACTGACAAAATTATAATTTAAATTAAAATTGAAATGAAGGGAAAGAATAATCTTTTTAAAATATCATTAACAATTTTTTAAAAAGATGGAGAGAGATGTTATGGATTTAAAAGGTGAAGTATGAACTTGAAGGGCCCAATCCTGATACCCAAACTGTCACGTCAAACCCATTGGAAACTGAGCCCACGCTCCAACGGCCCATTAATATACTTGAGCCCAAGCCCAATTTCCCAATAACAAGCTTCCACCGTCGCCATCCCCATCTTTCTTCGCTTATCGGGAATCGGGAGTGTTGCAGCAGGCGCTTTCGATCCCTTGTCTCCCATGGGAGTTCACTTCCAGCTCTGCACGACGACGTCAAGAACGGGTAACTCGTTTCTAGCTACTAGATAGACACGAAGATCCGAACCGGTTCGGTTGGATCGTTTTCAGCATTGCTTTTATTTTGATCGAAGATTTGGGAAATGGACGATCTATGCATTGCTTGAAATCAGTGATGCTCTGCCGATTTTAGTTTATTAGTTCCTCCATTCTCAGAAGATTTAGGGATTAGTTGCATCGTTTTCGTATTTCTGTTAATGAAATTAGGTTAACCTTTTCATTTTTGGAAAAATTGTGTAATCTACTTTATTTATTTCTGTTTTTCCGTTTTGAAACAGACATTTGCCTTTCTGTTTCTCTGTGTTCATATGTAAAATGATAGGGGAACAAAAATCTTCAATAAAATAGTTCATTGATAAAGAAGAAGCAACATGATTATGATCTGTTCATTTGCAGGCACACAATCGAAATTCAAACATGGTATTACAAACGCTTTTGGAGTAGAGAAAAGATGAAATACAATTCGGAAAGAGAAGGCGAAACAAAAGTCAAAGAAGTTTCATGCAATCAGTTGGACAAAGAGGCAGGCCAGAATCGTGGTGGGATCCCCAAGAATGATACTAACGATGGTCTGGATGAAGATCTTGAGGATTCTCAGCATCTTGTTACCTTCTCCGCCTTTCTTCCGACGGCTAATTTCTTTTAGATTCACGTTCAGAGCCAAAGATTTTTCAGCAGTGTTTCCTCGGCTTCTGTTCCATTCATTTAAAACCATTTCAGTAACACAAGCCACATGAACATGGTAGTTGCCGCAGTCAGAGATGTACGACCACCCATTGTCTCCGTCTCTGTCTCCGCCGCTGTCTTTGAGGCGCCTATTCTTGCACCATATGCACTTCCCTTTCACCTCCATGTGGAGATTGAACTCCACGTCTTTAATTTGGTAACTTTTTTTGAGGTTTCGGCAGCATGGGTGAAGGTCCAATTTAGATTTCTCGCAGTTGAACACGAAGCCATTGATGGTTTTTCTGCAAGCGTTGCACCTCACTATGCCCTGGTCGCAGCATTTTGGTGGGTTTCTGAGGAACTCAAAGGTGGAACCCGGAAAGAATTCATGGGAATTCGGTGCATAGTGTGCAAACATACAGGCTTTGTGGAGATCAAAATCGCATTTTTCGCATCGGTATCGAGGGCCGAATCCTGTTTCCTTGCAGCCATCGCAGGTGTAAGGTTTCTGATACTCCTTCAGCTCCAATTCATGCATCTGGTGGCTTGGATTACGCAAGGTCTCCATCGCCATTTCTCTGTGTTGCCTTCAAAAGAAAAAAAAAATCAAGAACAATTATGCGATGCAGGGAAAAGAGCAGAGAATAGAAGAGATTTGCGAATATGCAGAATGGGATGCGTGGCTATATATAAAGAAATCCAAGGCATCTGAGTTTCAGGTATTATTCTTCGTTCTCCATGCATTGAAATTCCATTTGAATTTGAATGAAATTTCTGAACACTGGGAATTTACCCGCTACATTTCTCTTCTCCTTTGCTAACTTCCTCCCTACGTAGTGACGTTTAGTTTGTGGGGTACGTTTATTTTTTATAGTTTTAGTTAAAGCTTTGAATTTTCATAAGTCTAGATTATATCATTAGTTTAACTCTGATTTTGGATTAAAAAAAAAATATCTTGAACTTTAAAAAGTTTTGTTAATAATTTTAATTTTTCATATTTTTAAAAAATAAAGTAGCATTAAAACAATCTTTCTATATCTCATATATTATTTTACACTGGAGCTTGAAGCTTGTTCTAAATAATATTAAGACTGTAGGATGTTGCAGGTAAATCTTTGAGGAGAGGTCAAAAGCTTCCAATCTCTGTGTTTGGATTCTCGTGTAAGCTTCCAATCTCTCGTTAATTTATAAACTCTTCCTTATTAATTTAATACATAAATAAATTATGTGATCATCGTTTTGCATTCAAATGCTTATGAATTCCAGAGAAAATTTTCAAATATTGGAATCTTGCTCACTCCCATTTCTCTTCTCATTTGATAAGTCTTTGTGATGACGTTTATTTCATTTGTTTTCTTAGGCAAATCAATTGAAATTCCCAAAGCTGAATTTGGCTTAATTATTAAAATAACCATAAGAATCTGACATTTAGTTTTTTTCCTTGCAAATATGAATTCAGGTAAATAGGTGAAGTAGCCCTTTTCTTGAACGCAGCTGAGATTACGAGCAGAGAAGAGAATTTCCTGAGAAATTATTGAAGAAAGGTGAGAAGCTTCCTCAACATAATTTATATTTTCATGTCCACTTTAAGGAAATAATATTTTTTATATTTAATATAAATATCAATCTTCTCAATTTAGTTAACTAAAATACCACTAAAATACAAATTAATGCAAACAAATATAAAATTATCACTTTCAATGAACGGAGTCGGCTGATTTAGGATAGATGGTGACAAAATTATAATTTAATTTATCATAAGGTTAAATTAAAATTGAGACGAAGGGAAAGAATAATCTTTTTAAAATATCAATAATAATTTTTTAAAAAGGTGAAGTATGAACGTGTTTGAAATTGCTTTTTTTTTTTTTTTTAATTGTTTTAGATATTAATCCAAACCTCCCGGTAATATTATTATTATTTTTATGACTAATTAATTTTAAATAAATATACAAATATACATATATGTTAGAAATTTCATAATTAGGGTTTGAAAGTACAAATTTATCAAACGCAGAAAAATTTATAATTTAATTAAATTAAAATTAATCTTTTTAAAATAAAATGAATAATAATTTTCTTACAAAATGGAGAGAGAAAGTATGGAGTTTAAATCCAAACTGTCAAGTGAAACCCAATGGAAACCGAGCCCAAGCTCCGAACGGCCCATTAATATACTTGAGGCCCAAGACCAATTTCCCCCCTTTCCCACGGCCCCAACTATCCTCATCTATTGTCCTTCGCTGATCGGGAATCGGGAGTGCTGCACCAGACGCTTTCGATCCTTAGTCTGCCATGGGAGTTCACTTCCAGCTCTGCACGATCACGACAACAACAGGTAACTTGTTTCTATCTACTCGATAGACACGAAGATCCGAACTGGTTCGGTTGGATCGTTTTCAGTATTGCTTTGATTTTGATCCAAGATTTGGGAAATGGTCGATCGGTTTCTGACCGCTTACGCATTGTTTGAAATGAATGATGCTCTACCGATTTTACTTTCATTAGTTCATTCTCAGAAGATTTGGGGATAAGTTGCATCGTTTTCGTATTTCTGTTAATGAAATTAGGTTAACCTTTTCATTTTTAGAAAAATTCTGTAACCTACTTTATTTATTTCTGTTTTTCTATTTTGAAACAAACATTTGCCTCTCTGTTTATATGTAAAATGATACGGATACAAAAATCTTCAATAAAATAATCCATTAATAATACAGAAGCAACATTATTATGATCTGTTCATTTACAGGCACACAATCGAAATTCAAACATAGCTTTACAGTGCTTTTGAAGTAAAAGAAAAGATAGAATACAATTGAGAAAGAGAAGGCGAAACAAAATTCAAGAAGTTTCATGTAATCAGCTGGACAAAAAGGGAGGCTAGAATCATGGTGGGATCTCCAAGAATGATACTAACGATGGTCTGGATGAAAATCTCGAGGATTCTCAGCATCTTGTTACCTCCTCCGCCTTTCTTCCGACGGCTAATTTCTTTCAGATTCATATTCAGAGCCAAAGATTTTTCAGCAGTGTTTCCTCCGGTTCTGTGCCATTCATCTAAAGCCATTTCAGTAACACAAGCCACATGAACATGGTAGTTGCCGCAGTCAGAGATGTACGACCACCCATTGCCTCGGCCGCCGTGTTTGGGGCGCCTACTCTTGCACCACATGCACTTCCCTTTCACCTCCTTGTGGAGATTGAACTCCACGTCTTCAATTTGGTATCTATTTTTGAGGTTTCGGCAGCATGGGTGGAGGTCCAAGTCATCTTCCTCGCAGTGGAACACGAAGCCATTGATGGTTTTTCTGCAAGCGTCGCACCTTACTATGGTCTCGTGGCAGCATTTTGGTGGGTTTCGGAGGAACTCAAAGGTGGAACCCGGAAAGAATTCATGGGAATTCGGTGCATTGTGTGCAAACATACAGGCTTTGTGGAGATCAAAATCGCATTTATCGCATCGGTATCGAGGGCCGAATCCTGTTTCCTTGCAGCCATCGCAGTGGTAAGGTTTCTTATACTCCTTCAGCTCCAATTCATGCATCTGGTGGCTTGGATTACGCAAGGTCTCCATCGCCATTTCTCTGTGTTGCCTTCAAAAGAAAAAACAAGAACAATTCTGGGTGCAGGGAAAAGAGCAGAGCAGAGCAGATCAGAGAAGAGATTTGAGAATATGCAGAATGGAATGCGTGGCTATATATAAAAATGAAATCGAAGGCATTGAGTTTCAGGTATTTTTCTTCGTCTCTATGCATTGAAAGTCCATATGAATTCTAAAGAAATTTCTAAACACTGGGATTTTCATTTTACGCGGTGCTTTTATCTTCTTCGCCAAGTTCTTGTGGACTGGGGGTTCGACCATTCATAAATCATGTTAGCATCTTAGCTCTATTACATTGTATATTGTGGTCGCTCAGAGGCGGTGAAATTGGGGACAAAAAGTTTTAAGCTATTTTCCTCCCTCTTTATGCATAGAAAAACATATGAATTTGGATGAAATTTCTGAACACTGGGATTTTACGCGGTTTATTTCCCTTCCTCTTTGCTAACTCCTCCTTAACGTGATGACGGTTAGTTTGTGGGGTACGTTTATATTTAATATTTTTTAGTTAAAGCTATGAATTCTCAAAAGTTAAAATTATTTTATTTTTATTATTATTATTTTAAATTTAACAATACTCCTTGAGCTTCCACTCTCAAAAACCCCTTTTTTTTTTTTTTTTTTTTTTTTTTTTAATTTTAAAAATAATTATAAAAATTTAAAAGTAGTATTAATATCCTTAAACTTTATAAAAAAAAAAAGTTATGTTCTTGTCATCACTATATGAATTGACACCATCTTTCTCTGATTCATAGATCATTTTCATTTTATTTTATTTTATTTTTGGATTAACTAACACTAAAGCTTCTTCTAAATAATGTTAAAATTGTAGGTTGTTTCCAAGAAATCTTTGAGGAAAGTGTTAAGAATGAGAAATAGAAATAGAATTGGGATCGAAAGTATATTCTTCATTCAGGTTTACCACGTTTAAATAGGATACAAACTATCAACTAATACCTAAAAATAGAAAAAATATATATCTAACTAAATTTGGTAAATAAATAAAATATACGGTTAATAAAATCTATACTAACAACTCCCTAAATATCTGAGATATATTCTAACTAATTATCACGGCAAAATATCCTCTTAATACTCCCCCTCAAGTTGGAGAGTGTATGTCGATCACACCCAACTTGTCCTTCAAAAAGTCAAATTGCTGTCTTCCCAAAGCTTTAGTAAAAACATCTGCCAATTGCATTTTGGTCGAAACATAACACGGTTTGATGATTCCAGCTTGTAACTTTTCTCGAACTATATGGCAATCTATTTCAATGTGTTTCGTACGTTCATGAAAAACTGGATTGGCTGCTATATGTAATGCTGCTTGATTATCACAATATAATAATGCTGGTTCGGACAGTGGAACATTCAAGTCTTGAAGAATGTATCTTAACCAAGTTAACTCTAAACAAGTATTTGCCATAGCTCGATACTCGGCTTCTGCTGATGATCTGGACACATTAGTTTGCTTTTTAGACTTCCAAGAAATAATTGAATTTCCGAGGAAAATGCAGAACCCAGAAATAGATCGTCTGGAAGTTCGACAACCACCCCAGTCAGAATCGCAATATGCCTGTAATCTTAAATTGTTTTCAGATGGCAGTAGAAGTCCTTGACCAGGAGTGCCTTTGATGTACCTCAGAACTCGAAGAGCTGCCTCCCAATGTGGTTTTCTTGGTTCATGCATAAATTGGCTAAGCATACGAACTGAATAAGCTATGTCAGGCCTAGTGACGGTCAAATATATTAATCTGCCAATCAACCGTCTGTATTTACTTGGATCATTCAACTTCTCTCCTTCAGTTAAAGAAAGTTTCAGATTTTGCTCCATAGGAAATTTGTCTGGACGTGCTCCTGTAAGACCTGTGTCTTGAAGGATGTCTAGAGCATACTTCCTTTGAGACATAAAAATTCCTTTTCTAGATCGAGAAAATTCAATGCCTAGAAAATATTTCAAATTTCCTAAATCTTTGATAAGAAATTTCTGGAGTAAACTAGTCTTGAGATATTGAATTTCTTCGAGATCATTGCCTGTCAACAGAATATCATCAACATAGATTAGAACTGCAGTGAAAGAAGTACCTTTACTCTTAGTAAACAAAGAGTAATCTGCTTTGGACTGAGTGTAGCCTGCATTTTGTATAGTTGTAGAAAATATGGAGAACCAATTGCGAGAAGCCTGTTTTAATCCATAAAGAGATTTATGGAGCCGACATACTGTATTCTCCCCCTGTTGGCGAAGACCTGGTGGTAAAGACATATAAACTTCCTCGTCTAGATTACCATGGAGAAAGGCATTTTGAACATCCAACTGATGGGTGAACCATTTTCGAGCAGCAGCAACAGTGAGTAAGCAACGAAGTGTAGTAAGTTTCGCTGTAGGGGAAAATGTTTCTGTGTAATCAATACCTTCAACCTGAGTGTATCCCTTTGCTACTAGTCGAGCTTTATAACGTTCAACAGAACCATCAGAGTTGTATTTAATTTTATACACCCAACGACAACCAATAGCTTTATGACCAAGTGGTAGAGGAACGAGAGACCATGTATGATTACGTTCCAAAGCTGCAATTTCATCATTCATAGCCTGCTGCCATAACGGGTCGCCAACTGCCTCGTCATAGGTTTTAGGTTCTGTCTGGGATGTAATAAGAGCTAGAAAAGCACGTTGAGTAGGAGAAAAACGAGAGAATGAAAGGTAATGATGAAGGGGATACCTGGTGCCAGTGCCGGGACTTGAGCTAGAGGTTAAATGATTGGCTCCAGAAGACATCTCATAATCCTTATGCCAAGCTGGAGGTTGTTTAGTACGAGTAGAACGTCGAAGTGGAGCTGATGTATCAGGTGGGATAGGATTGGAATTAGTGGGCGAATCTGGAGAAGGTGGAGGAGACGACGGAGTAGTAGGTGAAGGGATAGGAGGTGAAGGAGGAGTAGGAGGTGAAGGAATAGAAGGTGGAGGATGGATGTTTGAGTAGGATGGATCATGAAGTGGTACAACAGGAGTCGAAGGAGCTAATGTCGAAGTTTGTGAAGCTGATGAAAAAGGAAAATCATCTTCACAAAATTTGACATCACGGCTGATAAAGAATTTGTGAGATTGCATGTCATACAACTTGTAACCTTTATGACCACAAGGATATCCTACGAAAACACAAGGAGTTGCCCTAGGTTCAAATTTTTGCTTAGGATGTACTATAGTTGCATAACATTTACAACCAAAAACTTTAAGATGATGAAATGTAGGTGGTCGTTTGTAGAGTGCTTCAAAGGGTGTCTTGTTAGATAATAATGGTGATGGCGTTCTATTTATAAGATAAACAGCCGTTAAAATGCACTCTCCCCAAAAATTAAGTGGAACCTGTGACTGAAAAAGAAGAGACCTAGCTACATTTAGGATATGGCGATGCTTGCGTTCTACGACTCCATTTTGTTGTGGAGTATAGACACAAGTGCGCTGAAATTCAATACCACAAGAAGTAAAGAATGGTTGCAAAGATAGGAATTCAGTCCCATTGTCTGATCGAACTATCTTGATAGTAGTATGAAATTGAGTTTGAACGAATTTAACAAAGTTCATTAACAAATGATGTACTTCTGACTTATGTTGCATTAAAAAAACCCAAGTACATCGAGTAAAATCATCAACAATAGTGAGAAAAAAACGCAAACCAAAATGGGTAGGAATTTTATGTGGTCCCCAAACATCACAATGTATCAGATCAAAAGCAGAATGGGTTGTTATTGAACTTCTTGGGAAAGACAACCTAGTTTGTTTTGCTAACGGGCAGATACTACAATTATGAGAATAACTCGCATTATTAAGATGCAATTGATCAGCTAGAAATTTAAAACGAGAAAAGGAAGGATGACCTAGGCGTAAATGCCACAAATTAGATGACTGAGATACTTGATGAGCTGAAGATTTGAATGGAGATGAAGAAATATGATAGAGACCTCCAAATTGTTTACCCGAGCCAATCATCTTCCCCGTAGCCAAGTCCTGCATAACACAAGAATCAGGATAGAAGGTGACATAACATTTCAAGTTATTGGTAAGTTTGCTGATCGACATTAGGTTTAAATTGAATGAAGGCACACATAAAACGTTGTTTAATT